ACCGACTACACCAAATGCCTCACTTGCTGAGACCCAAGTGGGAGTGCGAACACTCACCCCAAATACGATGTCGCTCACCAAATCGGCTGCATCATAAAGACTGCCTACGTATCCTCTTGCCCAAGGAATCAAGCCTTCACGTAGTTCACCAATGGCCTTCAAAGGCCCTCAATCCAACATGCGGCTGATAGCATCATCAATGACCCCAAACTGAAGCGATCCAAACACCTCCACCTGAGATGTAACAATGGCCGTATCCAAAACATATCCACCAGCTGCATCCAAATCAACCACCTCATCATCTGCACCCATAAATAAATGACTCCCATGCTGTGCCACCTCAGCTGGAATCCCAACCAATGCAGAATGACCTGGAGTACGTGGGGAAATCCCCACCCAATGTGGAGTAGCATCAACCTCCACCCGCTGCGATATCCCTCTGACCTGATCAATACTCTCCACCTGCCGAGAGTCCAAAGTGACAAACCTGCTCAGACCAAACTCAGAAGCTCCTAACTGATAGCCGAATGAACTCCTAAATCCCAACTGCGCAATCGGATCCAACCTCACATCAACGATGTGACCAAGTGCTGGGTAGCCAAATATCCGACGCCGACCAAAATCTGAAACAGCTCCACCAGATCTAACAACTCTATACATAGCAGTCGGCAACCTCATAAGATAGCCCAATCGTGTCGAAGCCCGAATACCAGATCCACTGCTCGACAACCAACGCCGATCCTCCTCCAGAAAAGAACGGCCCACTAAATCTGCCATCTCATCACGTTGCCCCATTGTCTCCTCTACTCTGAAGTGTCTCCAAATGCCATGAGCTCGGCACCAATGCAAGAAAGGACTCCTACTAGAACAAGTATGACTGGTAACCTTTCTGCCCATACACCTCCTCCAACTGTTGCAGACTACTAGGGCTTTATACCAACGGGACTTGGTTGCAACCCAAATATGCCTAGTACAATCCCCAACATAGGAAACAAAATAACGATTACCTCCCGATGATGCCTCCTCGGAAAGCCCCCCAATGCCTGACTGAACACCTCCAATTAGACTCCTCGATCGATAGATAGAAGTGCTGAACTCCACCTTGGTCTTCTCGCTCATAACAATGTGCTCACAGGACTTCAATCTGCAGGTCATAGCACTCCTCAACAATCTGTGCACGGTATAACCAATAATATATCCCAGCACCAAATAATGCCACAGTCTAGCCGAATCTGATGAAGTCGTCATCTCCCTATCAATCACCGTGCTCCCAAGCAAATAGTACAAACATCCGCCAAGGTCACCCTATAGTCTGCTGCCTCCAAAGCTCCAAGTGAAATGATGTTCTTCTTCAACTGAGGAACGAACCTCACTCCAACCAACTCCCGAATCACCCCGTTACTCATCCTGATCCGAACGGTACCGATACCATCAATAGAATATTTGTGATCATTCCCCATGAGCACGAAATCCCCTCTTTCCAACTCCTGAAAGCTGGAGAACCAATCTCTCCTAGGGCAAATGTGGTATGTAGCCCCCGAATCCAACATCCATTCTGTAGAGTAGACAACACAAACTGACGGCAGTGCAGATAATGAGTAGCCCGAAGAATCTGAATCTGAATCGTTGCCACTATCCTTGACAACATTCACCTCTGAAGCTTGAATAGCTTTTCCCTTATTCTTCACGGCTTGTAATTTTGGGCATTCGGTTTTCCAATGTCCATCCTCTCTACAAAAGGCACACTGATTCCTACCAACTGTAGGATGCCCCCCTCTAGACTGCGACCTTCTTCCACGGTTTGGACTTTTAGCTCTTGCAACCAATGCACCCGCAACCGGCTCGATAGAAGTCTCATTGTCCTTCTTTCGAAGTTGATAATTCACAAGGGCTGCGGTGACCTCACTATACGAAAGAGATGCCTTCCCATTAATAAGAGTGAGGACGAAGGTCTCATATTCCTCGTCGGGCAAGGAACTCAATAACAACAATGCCTTGTCCTCGTCTTCAACAATGACATCTACATTCGCCAAATCTGCAAGTAGCTTCGTGTAGTGGTTCATGTGATCACTAATGGATGTCCCCTTCTTCAATTGGAAGCGATAAAGCCTCCTCTTCAAATGCAAACGATTTTCGACGCTCTTATCCAAATATTTTGCCCTCTAGGACCTCCCAACATCTTCTTTCCGAGAAGTTTCATTCATCACATCATATTTAAGGTCTTGGTAAGGCAAGACCTAAAATCACACCGACACCACAGGCGTTCTATGACTCAATCTTATTGCCAAACATTTTCATCAACCGTCGCCGGTTTCCGTTCCACTCTCAACGTATCTTCCAAATTTTGCGCATTTTAGTCGCATCCCCATGACTTCGGGCATCGCCAAAGTCCAAATTATTTGTGCCATATAAGAAAACTATTTCACGACATCATATTTTCATGTGTATTTCAAACTTATTAACATATAAAATCAGCAACAAAAAAGAAAACACTCCCTAGTTTTATAATATATACAGCATTATAGTCTAAAGCCACACCAACAAAATCGGAAACAACCAATTCACAAAAGAAAGATTAATTTACGCTAGAAAAAAGATCCCACCTTCTATAACACCAACGAGCTAAGTGTTCACAAAGAGCGATCTACTCCTCCAAATATAAAACCAAGCGTAGCCGGAGAGCTCTGATCATCTATAGGCTCGAAACAACAATCGCCGAAAAATAAAACAAAACAACTAGCACAAACAACACCATTTAAAAATAACATAGATACGCAGATGCCTACGTCCCATACGTCCCACGGGGCAGGGGAGGGGGAGAGTTTTCACTATTAGAAACAAGAGGAACAAACTAGGATAAATAAAACACAAAACCTCCACAACCAATTCACTCCATCCAATGTCTCTAGAAATGGAAAAGCAAACACATCAACTATACAAACGAAACGGGTCTGGAAACAGAACCCAACCGAAACCCGCAGCGGCGGTCGACCGGTACGGTTGACCGCGATCCATCGCGGTCGACCGGCCCGGTCGACCGCCCTCCATCCAGCAGCAAGCCCAAAAGTCCAGAGAGTTCGACGGTCGACCGCGTCGGTCGACCGCTACCATCTTCGGTCGACCGGTCCGGTCGACCGCCACCAATCCTGAAGCACAGTAAGTGACGTGCACGAAAGCGGTCGACCGGGCCGGTCGACCGCCACCCTGACAACCTGAATCCTGAGCCTGGAACCTGATCTCTGCCAATTCTACAGAAATCCCATTTCATTTTGCAATAGATCCATATAATAGAATGAATATTATTATTACAATAAAATGGCCCTTATAGAGATGAACATATTCAGAGATTGGAGCAAGGCAGAAAATTTTTAGCTCATTTGGCTAGTAGCTTGCTAGATGTACTTTTTAGGATTCCCTTTAGCAGTGCAAAAACAAGTTAACATGAGAAACAATTCAAAGTTTGAGTCTTTTGAACTCATCTCTTCTGCCAAAAGTGAGTAGTCATCTGATCCCTTTTGCTTTATTACATAAAAACAACAAAGATCAGACTTTAGCTTGGAATCAAAAGTCACTTCTTGAGGTGACTAAGAACATGATGAAATGAAGAATGAAAAAAAAATAAACTATTGTTTGAACAAAAAACTTGGGCAGCGCTGTTGGATATGCAAGACTAAGGCAGTGAATAGGATTGTTATCATTTTTTATCAACACACAAAATAATGGCCAAAAAGATAAAATAAAAATAATTAACGATAATTAATCATAAAATAAAAACAATCAACGATAATTAACCACAAATAACAATCAATCAATAACCACAAATAACAATCAACCAGGAACACACAAAATTTTATAGTGGTTAGAATAACAATTATATGTTATATTCCTTCTTATGATGGGGCTTCCTCACTAAGCAAAGAGTTCGCCTAAATTACAAAGCCGATTCAATAGGCTTACAAGATCGCACTGCGAAAGCTAACTAAAATCAGTTGTCTAACATAACTCTCCACAATGGGTAAATATCTAGCCCTAGCTAGTCCCAACACTCAACTGGCTTGAGTACTACATAAAAATAAGTTTAACTCATAATCAAACAACCAAAGTTAAAGCTCAAAAAATATGAAAGATCTTATAGCTTTTACTTAAACAAACCATCCTTCGATGAATGTAAGCGTAACACGATGAAGAACTGTGTAGGTAATAAATCCAAGGGCAATTGTACTCGCTAAAACGATCTGGAGATGTTGTGTGTGACAAGTAAGAGTTTGTCGAGGCTTCAGGGGTCAAAGCCTTTAATGAATTTTTTTCACAATCCAAAACCCTAGAATTCTCCTCTCTCTCTCTCTCTCTCTCTCTCTCTCTCTCTCTCTCTCTCAATGATACAAAGTCCCCAATAGGTTAGAAAAGAGAGATCCTAAATGTGGTAGAGATTTGAGATAAAAATCCAACGAATGACTGCGATTAAATCTAAAATTCTGCAATCGGCAGACTTTACCATTGATAGTGGCTTCAACCATTGATGGTGACAAAGCCCCATTGATGGTTGAGAGGTTCCATCGATGATATGAAAATCTCTCTCAGGTAAAACATTAATTTGTAACTGTAGCCATCAATGTGTAATTGTAGCCACCGACAAGTAACTATAGCCATCAATGAGCTCACCTACCATTGATGAGTCATTGTAGACCATCGATGATAAGGATGCTGAAATAAGCTTTTGAGTTAATTTTGCATCATTTCGCCTTGTACACTTCTTCTAACTATATTCACATGTACTATATCATCTCAAATAACTATCAGTACCAAATAAGAGTTTATTATTACTCAAACAAAAGATATTATACGGATTATGTCCTAACAACCACAACTAGTAGTCATGTAGAATAGATTTATTTCAAACTTACTCCACCTCAGAACATTTGATGTTTTGGAACTAGTTTCAGAAATAAATGAATTCTTACAAGCGCACTCCAGAGTAACATTATGACAATTTATGTTACTAAAGAAGAAGAAAATAACAGCAGATGATGGAAAAGAAGATGTACAGATTATAATAGAGTGGTTAATGTTACATCATTAGTATATGACACAGATGAAGTGTGAAGAATGTTTCAACACAAATAGAGAGAGAATAACAGCATAATGCATTGGTTTCCATGCTCCTTTGGCATCTCCTGGCTAAGAATCTTTCGAACTCTTTTTCAAAAGAGGAATAAGGACAATGATTAAGATGACAAGCAAGAGGATTATGGCGCAGCAGGTCCATTTTCTCGTGTTCTTCTGAATCTTCTTCGCTTGTTGTAGTTGTACCGCTGCCGTCTGAACATGATCGACTGAGCTGGTCACCTGAGGGAGAATAAGTAAACTCTTATGGAGCCATTAAGTATGATATTTTCCCTTTCTTAGGATATGTATCTACTACATTTTCTCTTGTTTTAAAGTTTTCCTTTCTTGGGCTTTCTATAGTCCATTCATTTCTGATTAGAGTAAACTACACATAACCCTCCTCATCTATACCTTCAGTTGCCCTTAAACCCCATCAACTCATTTATTAGCACTAAGCCCCCCCACCCCCAAAAAGGTGGTTATGTGCAATTTACCCTACTAAAATCCTTACGCTATAAAACCTGGTTCTAATATGAGGGGAAAATGACTTCCTCTAAGATAGTAATGTTTTATTTATGGGTTTGTCTACAATGTGGCCTAAGGGCACATGTTAAGAAGCATTAAATGCTCTAGAGCACATGTTAAGAAGCATTAAATGCTCTTAAGCTATCACCGTTATCATAGACAAACGTGTAAAGTTTAATAGTTTTGATTTTTTTTCCCCGCTAAAATTGATAAGGAAAATGATTTAAGGACCCAAAATATGGGACCAAGGGAGGGGACAGGTGATGTGTCCCCTCCCTATTGCATAATGAGTTGGCCATGCTAAAATTGATAAGGAAAATGATTTAAGGACCCAAAATATGGGACCAAGGGAGGGGACAGGTGATGTGTCCCATCCCTATTGCATAATGAGTTGGCATGGCCAACTCATTATGCAATAGGGAGGGGACACATCACCTGTCCCCTCCCTTGGTCCTATATTTTGGGTCCCCGTAGCAGCACTCAATTGATAATTCCAGTCTCCTACACGCAACAAATTAATGTATTTTTTATTATTAAAGATAAAACAAAACCATTAAATATATGCACATTCTTCTACAATAGTGGAAGTCACTGGGAACCATTAATAATTGGTTCTTAATATGTGCCCTAAGGGCACACTATAGAGAACCCCTTTATTATAGTTGAGCAAACAAAATACAATTATACAATCTTGCACACAGGACTGGACAGTGTTCGCTAACCTCCCTAATATATTAACTATTGGATATTAACTACTCCAATAGAATAAATCGAGTAAATATACTGAACCTGTGTTTCAATATCATCCAACATCTCTCCTTGTGCATCAACGACCACTGCCATATCCATGAACATCTGTGCAAGGATTTATCACTAGTATCATTCGTCAAGAAGAAGAAAGTATAAATGTAATTGGACATATAAACAGGAAATAACTTAATTGAAGAATATTATACTTGCTGAAGTTCAAGAAGCTTCTTCTCTAGCTCAAGGACGGTACTTCGTCGCTCTTGAATCTCTGCCACTGTATCCACAATCTACACAAACTGCACATTGAGTTTTTTATTTTTTATTATTTTATTTATTTTTTATTTTTTTATTTATTTTTGGGAAATGGTATCAGTTTGAATCAGATAGTCAGTTGGAGTATGTCTACCTGTCCTCGACCAATTGCATTAGCAAAGATCTTTTCACTGTTTCCAGTCTCAATCAAGTGATCTATTGTCTGCTCCATAAACATGAACGCTAGTTTTTCAATCATAAATAAAATGGGAATTAAAGTGAATTTTATACTGGAAGACTATCTTACTTCTTCGTCAGGATGTGTTCCCGTTACTGCAAGAATGAAAAAGAGAAGACTATCATAGGTGAATTATATTTGATATGCAGTATACAATATATGATATTGACGTTAGGATACCTGTGAAAACTCTTCTCTCTACTACCTCACGATACTCGTCCTGGATATTTTGTCTCAAAATCTACGAGGAGATCAAGGAAAAATAAGTTTGGCAGCAAGATTGTTTCTGATGAGTGTATGAGCTGAAATTATTTACCTGAAACTCAGACATTCTCTCTTTTAACCTCTTCCTCAGTGCCCTGCAGCATGAAAAGTACATCATAGCAACAAAACAGCATTAGAATTTTAGGATTTGGAGGAGAGCAATTAGGTTGTGACTAGAGTAGTGATAGGTGGAAAAACTGCTTCGGAAATATTAAGGGCATTAAGATTTGAGTAGGATTTGGAGGAGAGCAATTCGGTTGTGACTAGAGTAGTGATAGGTGGAAAAACTGCTTCGGAAATATTTAAGGGTGGGAGATTATTTGCCTCGTCACTGAAAACATAGTAATAACAATCAAATAAGGTCTAAATAAATGAATGAGAATGTGGTTCCACTTGACTCTTAACTTATATTGTAACTCATAATACTCAGCAAAATAGTATTAACCACCAATTCTTGATGTAGAACACACCGCAGATATATTCATGGAGAAACTGGATCATCAAAAGCCCAAATGCGGACCCGGAAGAGGAAAATGACTTGCAACGAAGAAACGGTCATATCCCCCAAACCGTACGTCGAAATTGGACGAATTGTATATGAAAATCACATATTTTTTCAAGACGGAGTCAACCAAATCTACGCATTGGTTTAATGTCGTCTGTTTCGCGAAAGTCCTTTCAAATTGAGAGATATTAGAGTTTTTGTCAGTTTTTTACTATTTTATGTAATGTTTTATGAGGCTGTTCTGATTAGGAAACAAATCCAATTTGATTCCAATTTTGATCAATTTTTTTCCTTAATCATAGAGAGTTTTTTAGAAAGAGTTTTGTTATTTTTATTTATGGTAAAGTTCGGATTCTAGTAGGAGTCTTGTTTATTTTTTTATTTAAGCAAAAGATTGTTAGCCTTACAGGCATAACTTTTTATTAATAAATTTTCCACTTTATTACATTTTCTTCTTGGATTCGAAGTTCTTCGTGACTTTGAAAATTATTCTTTGTGGATTCAAAGAGCAACTCTTGGTAGATTCTGAGGTTTATTACTTTCGCAAAGTGTTAATTAGTATCAAAGCCCTGTTTCTCCGGTCGAATGCAGGCGATGAAGCCCCTACTTCCCGAATTGAGTTCGATGAGTTGAAGACCAATGTCAATCAGATTAAGACTACCATATAACGACTTGTATAGTCAATAGTGTCTGAACACCGTAAGAGTTTAAAATCGTGTTGATGGTTGCCAATGACGTGATTTGACTCCACAGGATAAATTCAACAGCGACAGGAACAACTATAAAGCCCTATGCAGCAGTTATGATCACTAAAACCGTTAATGATGGGACAACTATGATACTGGAGGGTTCAAGATGAAGATGGATCTGTCATCTTTCAACGGGCAACTCTATATCGAAGAATTTTTCGATTGGATTGCAGGGGTGGAGAGGTTTTTTAAGTATATGGAGATCCCAGATGAGCAGAAGGCCAAATTGGTGGCCTACTGACTTAAAGGTGGAGCATCTACTTGGTGGGAATCAGTGTGCACGAATTGATCCTGACAACGGAAGTTGAAACTCAATAAGTGAGAGAAGATGAAGAAGTTGAAAGCTCGTTTCCTGCCTAGTGACTACGAACAAGTCTTGTTCAGACAACACTAGAATTGCAAATAAGGTGAAAGAATAGTTATTGAGTACACACAAGAGTTTACTGACTGTTCTCCTATAATAATTTGAACGAGAACAAAGCCCCACAGATATCTCGTTACATCAGCGCAAGGTTTTAAATATCGGATGTTGGGTTCATGTCGGACGGCTGAAATCCATATCGGATAGCGAAAATCGGGGATATATCGGGGGACATGGACTAAATATCGGATTAACATATCGGGTGATGCACATATGTATAATATCATGTCCTAAAAGTAATCAACTGCTCAGAAAGCGTACAAGGGGTGATAATTTCACTTCTCAATTGCTTGGGAGTTTCTAATTTCAATTTAATTTCAGCAGCAACTTGGTACGAATTCAAGAAAGGCCATAGGGATGGCAAAATGGACCCAAAACCAATTGCCCACCCATAACCACCCGCCAAATGAACCATCCAAACCCACCCATTTAGTTAAATGGGTCATAAATGGGTGGGTATAGTTTCTATTAAAGATAAATGGGTTATTAATGGGCGGGTTATTACCCACCCATTTGCCTGTTTAGATGGATATTGTTTTAAAAACACCATCAACGCTTCAACAATTACAAAACTTATTTTTAAAAGATAAAAATTATAGAAAACACTTAAAATGACTAACAACCCCTTAAAAATTTGAGATTTGCAAAAAACACCCTCAAAGTTTAAAATATTGTAAAAACGCCCTCAAAAGTTAAAAATTATAAAAAACTATCAAAATTTTCTAACCTCACAGAAGACACATGAAATTTAAAAATTACCAACAACCCCCTGGAATTTTATAATTTGTAAAAAATACCCTTAAAAGTTATAGAAAATGAGAAAAACACGCTCAAAGTTTAAAATATTGTAAAAACGCCCTCAAAAGTTAAAAATTATAAAAAACTATCAAAATTTTCTAACATCACAAATGACACATGAAATTAAAAAATTACCAACAGCCCCCTGAAATTTTATAATTTGCAAAAAATACCCTTAAAAGTTATAGAAAATGAGAAAAACACACTCAAGACTTCAAAATTACCAAACAATCTTAGAGTTTTCTAAACTTGCAAATGACATGAAATCTAAAATTTTTAATAGTCCCCTATAAATTTAAAATTTGTAATTAACACCCTCAAAGTTTTAAATTTTTAGAAAAACACCCTCCATAGTTTAGAATTACAAAACCATCCTGAAATTTAAAAACCTACAAATGACACATGAAATCCAAAAATTACTAGCAGCCCACTGTAAATTTATAATTTACAAAAAACACTCTCAAAGTTTAAAAATTGCAAAAAACACCCTCAAGAGTTCAAAACTACAAAACAATCTTAGAACTTTCTAAACTTGCAAATAACACATGAAATCTAAAAAAATTCGGTAGTCCCCTATAAATATCAAATTTGCAAATAACACCCTCAAACTTTTAAAAATTACAAAAAACAATTTATTCTTACTGATGATACTTTATTCTTCAGAAAAGTTAAGTAGCTTCATGATTTTAGATGGTTTGGTTGACCATATTGACAAGGTCAATATTCTTGTTAACAAATCTTGATAAGGAAATATTCAAGTGCAATATTAATTAAGATCAATTAAAAAGGCTAGAATTCTATTACAGATAATTAATTAAATATTCTATGTTATTAGGTGATAATATGAATAATAGAATATAGATAATTGATATCATCTTATCTATAGTGTCTCTTACAGTTTTGTTACTTTTTTATCAAGTGTTATCTTTATGTGATTACCACCTAGTACAACTTTACCCGTGGTATACGGTTGAAGGGCATTAACAGAGCATATATTTATCAAGTAGGGGCATTAGCAGACTTTACCCGTGGTATACGGTTGAAGGGCATTAACAGAGCATATATTTATCAAGTAGGGGCATTAGCAGACATATTTGTTTGCAGCTCTGGTCTCTCAATTTGAAAATGCACGCGTATGCCTTAGATTTACAAAAAATCAGATCATGGATCATAGGTTAATTTCGAGCTCTAATATTGCCAAATAATGGAACCTAATATAATATCGAGGGGTTACTATTAGAAATCGTGAACTGAAATTTACACATTTTCAACATTTTAACGTGAATCAAACTTAGCTAGTGGCAGCTTATCATTTTTTTCCTCTTTTTTGGGAAACCATATACTTTAATTTTGCAGAAAAACCCTTAAAAAATTGCAAAAACCCCCCTGAATGTTTACAGAAAACCCCCTGAAAGTTTGCAAAAAACCCCCCCTAAAACTTTGCAAAAAAACCCCTGAAAGTTTGTAAAAAACCCCCTAAAGGTTTGCAGAACCCGAAAGTTTGCAGAAAACCCCCTAAAGGTTTGCAGAACCCCCCCTGAAAGTTTGCAGAAACCCCCCTAAAAGTTTACAAAAAAACCCCTGAAAGTTTGCAGAAAACCCCCTGAAAGTTTGCAAAAAACCCCTGAAAGTTTACAAAAAACACCCTGAAGGTGTGCAAAACCCCCCTAAAAATTTACAGAAAACCCCCTGAAAGTTTACAGAAAACCCCCTGAAAGTTTACAAAAAATACCCTGAAGGTTTGCAGAAAACCCCCTAAAAGTTTACCAAAACCTCATGTAAGTCTGCAAAAAACCCCCTAAAAGTTTACCAAAACCCCTTGCAAGTTTGCAAAAAAAACCCTGAAAATTGCAAGTAGATCCCGAAAACTTACATATATAAAAGTATCATAACTAAATGGATTATTGGGTTACCCATGAACCACCCATTTAGTAAAAACTTACATATATAAAAGTATCATAACTAAATGGATTATTGGGTTACCCATGAACCACCCATTTAGTAAATGGGTGGATGAGAACCAACCCATTTAGCAAGTGCTAAATGGGTCATAAATGGTTAAGTGGTCATAAATGTACCCACCCATTTATGACCCAACCAAAACCCAACCAAAACCATCCATTTGCCATCCCTAAGGGAGGGAACAGACATTAAGGAGTGTCAACTGTTAAGTATCTCACTCTCTCCTATGCATTAGCATTTAAATTTGTTGCATTTCAAATTTATAATTCAATTACTAACTTGAAACTAATTTTATTTGACAGGGCAAAACTAAAAAGAAGGGGAAAATTAAAAAGATTCAAGGGGAAAACTGAAAAGAATGTGAAAATTAAAAAGATTCAAGGGGAAAACTGAAAAGAAGGTGTCTTTACAACAGACATATTTGGCAGACACAGTTAGTCTATCCGAAAAGGTGGAGTGACAACTTGCACAAAACAATCGAGGATTATGGGCAGCTTCAAAGGGTTCGCGCATGAATTATAATCGTGGCGGAAACAAGCAATCCCATTTTATCCCTGATCAAGATTCTACAGCTAAGAAGGGTACATGATAGACAACAGCAATTGTAAAGAAAGCTACACTAGAAAATAAGGCTACACCAGCGAATCCATATGCCAAATCAAATCCAATCAAGTACTATAGATGCGGTCAACTTGGTCATCGAACCAATCAGTGCTCTAAAAGAAATACTACGAATGTGGTGGACCATGCTGAGGAGGATGCAGATCAAGATGACATTGAAGACTATGGAAACGAGGAGGTTGAGTATCTTGATGATGGGGACCAACTTTCATGTATAGTGCGGCGAATGTTACCAACTCTAAAGACAGAAGAACCGTCTCAAAGATATAATATCTTCTGCACGAGGTGCACCGTGAGACAAAATACTTGTAATGTTATCACTGATAACACCATCAGTGAGAATATTATCACTCAGCGTATGATGGAGAAATTAGGCTTGAAGACATAAATACCCCGCTTCCTACAAGATCGGTTGGATTCGTAAGGGTAATGACGTGCAGGTCGAAAAGGTGTGTCGAGTGCCTTTTTCCATTGGTTGTAATTATGTTGATGATGTGGTGTGATATGGTTGAGATGGATGCTTGTCATATGCTACAAGGCAGGCCATGAAAATTTGATGTTAATGCCATGTACAGGGGGAAAGACAATGTTTATATAGACATCGAGTTGTGCTCGTGTCTCTTACAGAGAAGGGGCCGGCCAAGACAAATAGTGCTGAAAAGAATATCTTTTTTATTGTTGATAATAAAGATTTTATAAAATATTTAAAACGATCTAAAGAGATTTATGATCTTGTCATATCCAAAAAAGAGGATTCTGCCCCCACTAAAAATCACCTAAAGTACAAACCCTCTTACAACAGTTTGATACGGTTATATCTGAAGAACTTACTGAGTTACCGATGCTTCGAGACGTCCAACATCAAATCAACTTCATCCCTAGGTCACGCTTACCAATTCTAACATACTATCAGATAAGCCTGAAGGAAGGGGAGATCTTGCATAAACAAGTAGACAATCTCATCCAAAAAGGCTTTATATAAGCTAGCATGAGTCCGTGTATTGTAGCCGCATTTATGGTCCCAAAAAAGAACAGAGAGTGGTGCATGTGTATGGATAATAGCGCTATCAATAAGATTACGGTGAAATATCGGTTTCCTATCCATCACCTAGAAGACATGCTGGATATATTATCAGGATCAAAAAGTATTCTCCAGAATTAATCTCAAGAGTGGTTATCATGATATTCGCATTAGAGAAGAATATGAGTGGAAAACTGCTTTCAAGATAAAAAAACGGCCTATATGAATAGTTGGTCATGCCTTTTGGCCTATATGTGGACAATTTTCATGCGGTTGATGAATCAAATATTAAAACCCTTTATCGGTAAATTCGTTATAATTTATTTCGATGATATTTTGATTTATAGCCAAAATGAGTCCATGCATCTAGATAACTTGAAGGAGGCACTAACAACTTTGCAGGAGAACAATCTGTACATCAATCTGAAGAAGTACAACTTCATGAGGCTTTATAGTCAGTGCAGAGGACATCCATGTTGATGAAAAAAGTGCACGCTATTCGAGATTGGCTCAAGCTGAATACTATTAGCGAAGTTCATAGTTTTTATGGTCTAGCGACCTTCTATAGGAGATTTGTCAGAAATTTTAGTAGCATCGTTACGCCTATCACCGAGTGCATGAAAAATACATATTTAATTGGGGGGAGATGCAGATTGTAGCTTTGCACTAATCAAGGAGAAGTTGTCCACACCACCCGTGCTCACACTTCCCAGACTTTAAAAAGATGTTCGAGGTTAATTGTGATGCAGTAGAATAAGGTTGTAGTAATAATTTAATACTTTGTTGGTAACTTTGTAGAATAAGGTTGCAAATGCATTCAGTCGGACGGCTGCTTTGTTGGTAACTTTGTAGGCATAAGTGATTGGATTTAAACACCTAAAGGAACTCTATACAAATAATGAAGACTTCAAGGAGGCTCGGAACAACTATCTGAAGAATTAGTCAGCAAGAAGTTTTTATATCCAGGATAGTTATTTGTTTCATGGAGATTAGATATGTATAGCGCAAAGTTCACTAAGAGAGCAGATCATACGAGACCTTCATGGTGGCGGGTTAGGAGGACATCTGGAGCGTGATAAGACAATTGCTTTCATTAAGAGATACTACTGGACTCAGCTGACGAAGAAGACAGAAAAATACGTGCGGTGTTGTCTAGTTTGTTAAGTTACCACGGGATAAGCCCAAAATACCAGACTATATACACCTTTACCTGTTCCTGATATGTCGTGGCATGATATCTCAATGGACTTTGTATTGTATCTCTCTAGAACTCAATGAGGTATGGATTCTATTGTTATTGTGGTTGACAGATTTTCAAAGATGGCATACTTTATTCCATATAAGAAGACAGCAGATACTAGTAACATTACCAACCTTTTCTTTTAGGAGATGGTACACCTTCATAAAGTGTTAAAGTCTATCATCTTTGATCGTGACTCCAAGTTCTTACGTCACTTTTGGAGGACATTGTAGCAACAATTTAATACTTCACTGAAATTCAGTACTACTTACCACCCTCAAACAAACCGCCAAACTGAAGTGGTTGATCGCACTCTTGATAACCTTCTCAGATCCATTTCTGACGATCATCCAAAACAGTGGGATCTTGGTTTGGTGCATACTGAGTTTGTTTATAACTATATAGAGGGTTGAACTACAGACAGGTTCCCTTTGTGAGGAGGCCTTCGAACCATTATCTTGATCTAGTTCCACTACCTAAGCTCTCGGGTCAGAGTGTTGTTGCAGATCATATGGATGAAAGGATACGAGCTATTCAATAGGAAGTGAAAGAGCAAATAGAGAAGTTTAATGCTAAATATATAGTGAATGCTAATCAACACATGGTGAAGAAAGTATTTGAGGAAGGAGATATGGTGATGGTGTTTCTATGAAAAGAGCACTTTTCAGTGGGAACATACAACAAGCTGAAGAATAAAAAGTTTGGTCCATACAAAATATTGAAGAAGATTAGCGATAATGGTTATGTCGTTGACGTTCCTGAAGATTTGACCATTTCTTTTGGTTTCAATGTTGCAGATTTGTTTGAGTATTACTCACTAGAAGGCTCAACTTTTCATGTGAATTATAAGCTCGGGATTGAGCTCTTTTCAAGAAGGGGAGATTGATGTCGAACATATTGTGGAAATATTCATAGAGAATCCGGACCGTCAGAAGCCCAAAAGCGGATCTGAAAGAGGAAAATGACTTGCAACGAAGAACGAGTCATATCTTCCAAACCGTACATCGAATTAAACAAATTATATATGAAAATCGTGTATTTTTTCGAGACGGAGTCAACCGAACATATTGATGTTCGGTTTGCTACCGTCCATTTTACGAAATTCCATCCGGATTGAGAGATATAAGAGATATTGTAATTTTTTTACTATTTTAGGTAATGTTTTAAGAGGTTTTGATTAGGAAACAAATCCAATTTGATTTCAAATTTGACCAATTTTTTTCCTCAATCATAGGGAGTTTTTTTAGAAAGAGTTTTGTTATTTCTATTTTTGATAAGTTCTGGTCTTAGTAGGAGTCTTGTTTATTTTCTATTTAAACAGATGATTGTAAGCTCTAGAGCCATAACTTTTCATCAATAAACTTTCCTATTTATCATATTTTCTACTTGGATTCGAAGTTCTTCATGGATTTCAAGATCATTCTTTGTGGATTCAAAGAACAACCCAGTTAGTGGATTCCGAGGTTTATTACATTTGCGCTGCGTTAATGTTTTTGTGAAGCTTTCTTTAACTTTGGGTTATGCCCTATAACTTACTCCCTTTCGATGCGAAAATGGTGAGATAGTGATGTTGAGGCTGATCATGACTAATGATTCAATCTAACACATTATCACATCTGCTATAGACTAGAGCAAGACTCTAAACATGAACTTTATGTGACAATTTAAATGGGCAGTAGTAACCTAGTTATGCAGTCAAGTAGTAACTTACTTACGCAGTCATTAATGCTCTAGACCTATCAACACCCGTCCCTTTCTCACATCCTGGTTTCTTCCTGTTGGCAATATTCTGTAGACAAAAAAAATAGCTAGTATGAGAATACTGACATATTTTAATAGCACATATAATGATGAATGAATTTTATTTGGTGGTGGACATACATCCCTGTCAAGTGCTTCGAGGCTTGCTTTAATTTTAAGAGCGATTTTTGAAACTTCCTCGATATCCTGCTCCATCCGTTGCTTAATTGCTGAAACAAAAGAAGAAATCCATTTAAATGTTCTTCTGTTAACCTACTTACATTAAAATAATATTACATTTTATGACCACTTAAATGGGACATCTACATAAGCTTAAGTTCTATTTGTACCTTTCATGGCCGAGGACATTGTTGCCTGTTTGGTTTCTTCTTTTGCAGCCTACCAACAAGCAATAGGAAGTTGTTAGTTGTTATGAAAATATCAAAGCAATGTTGTGTAGCTTGTTTATGGTTCAGTCTACTAACATGACAATGCAACACAATACATATACATGTACTCACACTCATATGTACATGCATAAGCATGCACTCATGCATGTGAAGAGGCATGCAGGTACATATATGTACATACACTGATACACATACATAAAATTGCACTTGCACAAAAGTACACATGCATATGCGAGATAGTAAACCTATGTTAGGGATTTCCACGGTCGAGTTTGATATCCTTCGACATGCATTTCCATCAAAAACCTAAAGCATCACAAAAGACTGCTTGAGATCTAAAGTTCTAAACAACAAGAACACAGATATGCGAGGCAATTGACCTATGTGAGAGATATCATGGTTGAGTTTGATGCCCTCAGTCATAAATTTTCATTTAGATATTTTGAAAATCAGATTTAATTAATTCTATCCATGTAAATTCTTTTTTTCCTATTCCTTTTTTAAAATGCGAGGATACCTCCTTGTTGAATACGTTAACTTTTGCCATCTCTCTCAATTGGTTTAATTCCTAAACCCGCTTTTATATACTTTGATCATCTTTTTAATATCATGTGCCCATCTTAACATTTTCAATCTTTTACTATGTTCAATGACGGGTTTCTTTCCATATTAGTACATCAAATCTTCCATATTTAAAATTACTCTCCCAAATCTTGCATATTTGAAATTAGTCCCATAACTCTTCATATTTTGAAATTTGTCCCTCAAATCTTCAAAGTATTTTGAAATATATACACACACATCATATTTTCATATAATTCTCTTTGCTTTTCAAGAAGAATAGGGAAATGGTGTTTCAATTTCCATGAAGTTTGCATTTAATATCATGAAATACATTTATATTTTCATGTGGTCTTATTTTATAAAGTTCTAAATTAAGAATTAAATAAGTGAAATGGATTTTTTATGTTCACAAACTTTTGCAATTATTTTATCAACATGATAGTAAAATTGCTTCATCTCTTCTTATTATGGCTTGAAATAAGTTAAATGATATAATTTATAGTGTATTGCTAATTTGTCAAGTCTTTAAAAAGATTATAATCTGTAGTTTGTGGTTATGGAAAAATAAACTACAATGCGCCTTGCAATGCGGGATGACAATGAAGCGTCCTGCAGTATCACCGAATTTCAAAGAGACTCTATATAGTTCTATTTATTGTGAATAGACCCTTGTAGTTCTACTTGGTGTGAATAGACCCCAGTGAAATTTTTTTACTCTTAAAATTGTTAAAAATATTTGAGGTGGATAGACCCCTTAAAGTTCTATTGATGAGGAATGAGGATAGACATCCAATTGCTAGTTTCTTTTTTGACTTGTAAAAGAGTTGAAAAAGTTTATCAAAGGGGCATGTTCACAGTTGAGCCAATACTACCGAGGGTCCATTCACAACAAATAAAACTATAGGAGCTCTATTTACAATTAGGTGATACTACAGGGGTCTGTTTGCA